AGATAGTGCACTAATCAGGCAAGTCTTTCATGTCGCGTCCGTTTTTTAGAAACCATTTGTTACGTGATGTAGGGGCGCAAATATGAAACACGAAATTATGGTCCCTTTTCCCTGAGCGGCCGTCTGAATGTCAAACTATGGGTTGACAAGCTCATGAACCGTACCTCTTTGACACTATTTTCTGGCAAAAACATACTTATACGGGCTACTGGTGGTCCTTACGATAATAAATCATCCATTATTAGCCAAGATACCATTTTACGACTCCATGAAAGCGACAATCAAAAATGCAAAACATTGTCACTACGGAGAATCGAGCCATGAACTAATATTTTATCCCCTTTTTGGCGTTCATAGGGCCGCTCAGAAAAAAAATCAAGCACAGCCCCATATTCCATCGAGCCCCAATATTACGTTGAAAATCCGTTTCGAAACAGCGGTTCACGACCTAAAATACTTCCTGTAAATGAACGCCACAGTGCGCCTACAGAGGGAGTTACGATAAAGGCAGCCCGTTCAAAATGAAGGTGAAAGTGGTCAGTTGTGCAGGGATGAAGAAATAAGCATAAGTAACGGCCAAGAACTCGAGAAATGAAATCCCTCCTTTGCCCGTCGGTTATCGCTCTGATGTGACTCTTGTCGGTGCTGCCCTCTTCATCGCTAACCCTCTCTCTTTACTAAACGGCTAGAGTTAGTTAGTCAGGTAGGCAGCTGCGCGAGCGGCCCTCCTAGGACGCTGGAGGCATGGCTCTTCGAATCACGCATCGCCACACGTTAGGGGCCGCGCCTGCTTCTGGCTTAGACAATTTTCCCGCGTCTTCGACCTTCCGACCTTTCGTTGGCCACCAATTCAAGAAGCGATCAACAGTCCAAGCAGGTAGCACGCATAGTATTGCAATAGATTCACCTTGTTAGAAGCATTTAGGTTATTCGGGCAAATGATGACCCTTGATCGGTTGAAAGGGGTGCACAGTAGATCGAAATGGTGTCATATGTTGCGCACGAAAATGATTGTAGGCATCTTCAGCGTATTTCACTGCAGAATCCCTACCACAGAAAACAGTTTTCTGTGTCTATGTGGTTTTGTCGTCTGTTTGTTATTTGTTGCTAAAGCTTCTTGCCTTGTTTATCAGCGAGGTCGCTGGCTATCTACTTCTAAGATCGACAATTGGTGCGGACGGTGGAAATCTTTTTTTTTTTTTTTTTTTTTTTTTTTTTTTTTTTTTTTTTTTTTTTTTTTTTTTTTTTTTTTTTTTTTTTTTTTTTTTTTTTTTTTTTTTTTTCGCGGGCAAAGCCTCACGCGAAACTAGCCACGTTGATGGGCGGGGCCGGACCAAATAGGCGGGGCGTGCGCTGAAATCCCTGGTTTTAACGCCTAACGCCCATTTGAATCCCAAGTGGTTTGAGTGGAAGAAGTGTGTTGGCACTAGACAACCACGGAAAATAGGGTTGAGGGCTGTCGACCGATATTGATGAAAATGTCAATTTTTGTGCAGAGGGCTCGAAACAAATAGCGACGCATCATTGATTGCATAGAAGTAGGAATTCCATGAAGACATGCCTTATCGACCAAAATTGATCGAAATTATCGAGTTTTGCGCAAAGTGCCGAAATGGTTAGTGAATTGCATAACTGAGTGGGTAGAAGGTTAAACTCGACTCATAGGCCAAATAAAATCAGGTTTCGAGAAGAATGCTAGAAACGTGAAATTGGACATATGACTGGGAGTATAATGGCTTTGCCACAAGAATTCCCTTTCTCAACAACCATCTGACGCGCCGGTATCGTCTGCAGCAGCAAGTGGTAATGGCTATAAAGAGGAGTGCCCCTCTAAATACCTTGAAGGCTTAGACGTGCCTGGGTCTAGCACGAGGCACCCTTTGATATTTTAGAAGTACTGTAAAACTATCCACACAGTATACACATTTCTCTCTTCTGTTTGAAACCAAAAGCTGACAGGAACCCATACTAAGCAGGTTTCAGGGGATGTTTTGCTGTGAACACTGGCCTAAGATGTCGATCAAAAACATTTCTTGGTGCAATTTCTAGTCGGGTGAGCACGCCGATTTTTTAAATACGGTAGATGAGAAATGTACGTGGAGATTGGTGTCCACCCTATGACGTCACAATGATCGATAGACTAACTTAAGTGTTGGAAGAAGCCGCTCCCTCTCAACAAGGCTTAGATTATCAAACGATAGCGTACATTCGGACGATGTGGCAAGAAATACGACTCAAGGAAGAAAAAGCAAAAACGGGATAGTTTATCGATCCCCATTACTTCACTCGTTACTTCACAATAGTGCACACCACTCCCACCTACATTTAGCGCTTACCGTATTCAAAAAAATCAGTGTGCCCACCCCACTGGCATTGCAGCCGTTTTATATTGGAGGTTTTCAAGGTATACACGCTTATTCAAAATCACTACGAAGGTCTAGTAACCAACGGAACTTCACTAAATATGTGCCAAAAGTCAAGTGCGAGGAGATCCCGAAGGGATTGATCAATGCCCGGCAATTTATCCTTGACGTTCTTCTCTTGCAAATCTTGAAGCCTTCTCTCCATATTCTCCGATTTCTAGCAATTTTTAATTTATGGATTTCAAAATCCCTCCATAAATCTTTTGTGAGGAAATTATTGGGGAGACAGCAATGTTTGCTTTGACGAGGGAAGAGCCTTTTGAAATGTCTTTATTTCAAGCATGAGTCAGTGGTAAAAGTCTTCGCATGATCCTCAGGATCAATAGTTCCTTCAGGTACACAAACCCTTCCCTCCGGGATCGCTTAATTGCTGCCAGATGCGTATTAAAGGGTAAAAACACTAATTTGAGCACGCCCAGTTACATTATTACTGCTGAATGTCTCCTCATGAGTACGGCTGAAATCGAAACATCTCGATCTATGAGCCAATCGATTTACAAAGGGGTTTTTTCAGAGTGTGAACGCACTTTCTCAAAATGGCCTTAGTGCTGCAGGGGCGCTCACGCAGGTGTCGAACTGTGGTTCACTTTCGCTGAGCAGCCCCTCCAAGGGCAAAAAAAAAGGATCGGGAAAAAAAACTAGCATGGAGTGGGTGGTTTTTTACCGGATTCGGGTAGAAATCTAGCTGTAAGGATTACTGGTGGGCTAGTAATGAATATGACAACACTGTTGGCGCTGGCCGCCATCGGAACAAGTCTTGGAAGCACCAACCCAAAATTCAAAATTTGGTCATCATAAGAATTGAACCTTGGACACAGGGTCAACCCTACGTTGGTACAAGTACCAACGGGGGGGGGGGGGTCGTACTTGGTTTAGCTTGGAGGGGGGGTCGTACCCACTTTAGTCGCTCGAAATCACGTGTGGGATTGAGGTGAAACTAAGATTTCGTGGGTAGTAGGCTGGGCGAGTGGAGGGGCGCAGGATAAAAATTTGCCGTTTCAGCGGGCGTATATACCCTAGAAAAAGGAAGTAGTGGGAGTATAGGTAAAAAATGGGTTGAAATGGTGGAAGTAGAAGGAAATTTTCGGAGATATTTACCGTTTCAGAGTGACTATATACCCCCCCGCTCGACGGCATTTTTGGAGGAAAAAGTGGGCGGGGTTTGGTGGGTTGAGTGGTATCAGAATTAAGTACTATAGAGACGATGATGGTGGTCGAGGTGTCGAAAAGGGGGTCGTATCAAATCCACCTTGGGGGAGGGGGGTCGTAAAATTTTTCAAAGTAACAACGATAGGACCGACCCTGCTGGACAATAGGTTGTAGTCCACTTATGACTTCACACAACATGCAGAAAACCGTTTTTGAAAAAGCGCTCAGTACCCTGAAAGCCCTCCTTAAAAGATAAGTAAAGGATAAAGCATCAGCCGCTGATTCTTCCCTTTTGGTTGCTGTCTCCTCAATAATTTCCTCACAAAAGATTTATGGAGGGATTTTGAAATCCATAAATTAAAAATTGCTAGAAATCGGAGAATATGGAGAGAAGGCTTGCAAGATTTGCAAAAGAAGAACGTCAAGGATAAATTGCCGGGCATTGATCAATCCCTTCGGGATCTCCCGACATTTGGCTTTAGTCACATATTTAGTGAAGTTCCGTTGGTTACTAGACCTTCGTAGTGATATCGATAGCGTGTGTACCTTAAAAACCTTCAATATAAAACGGGAACAATGCCAGT